TTGGAAAGGAAAAAGTAAAACAGTCATTATTTGCAGATGATATGATACTATATACGAAGAACATTAAAAGTTCAAAAAATGATTAGAATTAATGAATTCGGTAAAGTATCAGGATAAAGAAAATAATAGAAAGTGGATGTATTTTATACACCAATAATGAACTATCAGTAAGAGAAACCAGGAAAACAATCTCATTTACATTTGCATCAAAAGAATAAATACTTAGACAAATTTAAACAAGGAGACAAAAGACCTGCACTCGAAAAACTGTAAGACACTGAATAAAGAAACTGAAGAAGATACAAATAAATGAAAGGCTGTACTGTGCTAATGGATATGGAAGCAACCTGACTATCCACTGCTAGGCAACTAGATAAAGAAGATGGCATACATATGTACAATGGAATGTTACTTAGCCAAAAAAGAATGAAATCTTACCATTTAAGACAACATGCATGGATTTAGAGGGTATTAAACTAAGTGAAATACATATTTCACTTATATGTGGAATGTAAAAAGCAAAATAAACAAATAATCAAAACAGGAACAAGTTCATAGATACAAAGAACAAATTGATTGTTGGTAGATGGAGAAGGACTGGGGTGATGGACAAAAATAGTAAAAGGGATTAAGATGTACAAATTGCCAGTTATAAAAATAGTCCCAGGGCCCTGGCCGGTCTGGCTCAGCGGTTAGAGCGTCGGCCTGCGGTACAGAGAGACCTGGGTTCGGTTCCCGCTAAGGGCACCTACCTCGGTTGCAGTTTGTCCCCGGCCCTGGTTGGTCGTGCGGGTGGCAGCCACTCGATGTGTCCCTTCACATCGATGTTTCTCTCTCTCTCCCTCCCGTTTTATCTGAACAAAAAATGGAAAAATGTCCTCGGGTGAGGATAAAAAAAAAAAATAGTCCCAGGGATGTGAAGTACAGTATAGGGAATACAGTCAGTAACATTGTAATAACTATGTATGTTAGATGAGTACCAGACTAAATGCCTGATCACTATGTTGTACTCTTGAAATATAATAGTGTATGTCAACTGTTAGTGAAAGGTAATTTTTAAAGAAAGACTGACCCTCATACTCGACTCTTAACTACAGACTTCATTCACATTTCACCAGTTTTTCCACTAATGTCCTCTTCCTATCTCAGGATTCGAATCAGAATACACATTGCATTGAGTTTCCATGTTTCCTTCCTCTCCTCTGGTCTGGGACGGTTTCTCAGTCTTTGCTTGTTTTTCATGACCTTGAACACACTGGTAAGGTATTCTGTAGAATGATCTTCAATTTGACCTTCCTGACTTCATGATTAAACTGGAATTACGGATGTAGGGAAGCACTCCACAAGTGCCCCTTCACCCGGTATCTACACAGAGGGACCTGCAATCAACACGCATGATCCGTGATGACGTTCATTCTGATGACTTCATTCCAGTGGTATCTGTTGAGTTTCTCTTCCAGAGCACACATTCCACACACACAACAGATGCATTGTACTTTGCTTCAGATGAGTATGGAATCTTGCTGAAGATTTCAGCTCATCAGAGTGAGCTGTACTAGAGAGACCAGAGTATTGTCAGATGAGTACCAGACTTAGTGGGGTGACCGCTTTATGTCTAATCACTATGTTGTGCACCTGGAACTAATATAATATTGTATATCAACTGTAAGTGAAATTTTTAAAAAGTTTTTTTTTAAAAAACACTGGAGCACCTTGGAAGCTACCTCCTCAAGGCACAATCATGGTTCCTCATGCAAACCTATGAGTCAGATCTCATTACTCTAATGAGCAATTAATCCAATCAAACAGAGTCAGTCATAAATTTAATTTCCAAGTGAGGAGCAAGAGACATTTAGCAGGAACATCAATCGAAGCCATTAGTCCATTACAAAAATGATAACACAGTTAACCCCAAAGTCGTCGTATCCGTAGATATAGAAATATACTGTATCTAACTGAGAAATGCCATGTAGGAATCAGAGAGAAAGAATAATATTCCTTACCAAAATCCTAACCGTCAATAGCCGAGAACCCCAATTCAGACATAAATATATAGAAACTATCTAATATATACAAATCACAACTCAATATTTGCTCAGGCCATTAAACAAATAAAAGAGGGCAAAAGGGAGATACATGGTGGGAAAAGACTTGACTTTGGGTGGTGAGTGTACAGCGTGCAGATGAGGTGTTATAGAGTTACATGCTTGAAACCTGTATGATTTTATTAACCAAGGTCACCCCAGTAAACTCAACAAAAATATTAATCTAATTCAAAAACATTCTAAAGAAGAATAAAGAGGAATTAAATAGAGTAACATGTAACTATCCTATTGACTTTATGGAGTATTTCATTTGTTGTCAGTAACATGTTGAATGTGTGTATAAACAAAGTTTAGGCATCCGTTCTCATTCAGAGCACCTATTTAGCATCCTGCGTCACACGATTAAACATTGTTTAAAACAATAAACATGGCATGGGGCTCGACTGTACTGAAGTTTCAATAAATAAAAGTAGGATGGGTTTTAAATTTATAAAACACAGAGTTTGAAATTAATGGCAACTTTTCTGTCCAAATTTTGTCTAATATGAAGTCTGGGTTTAAAATATCAGAAAAGGGCCCTGGCTGGTTTGGCTCAGCAGTTAGAGCATCAGCCCATGGACCAGAGAGTCACGGGTTGATCCAGGGCGGGTACCTTGGTTGCAGTTCGATCCCACCCTGGCCAGAGTCGTGTGGGAGGCAACAGGTAGGTGTGTCTCTCTCACATTGATGTTTCTCTGTCTTTCCCCCCTTTTCCCTCCCACTCTGACTGAAGATAAACGGAAAAAGATCCTTGGGTGAGGATTTCAAAAATCAATAAATGAATAAAATATCAGAAAAGGAAGCCTCTAATTCTATTGCCCTACAATACATTGTTATAGTTAGGGTCTTATAATCTAGATTTACTTCTGCAAATCCTAAACAATGGACACCTTACATTTTTAAAAACTTGGAGAAATAGCTGTTAGTTTTCCCACCAGTGGGATTCTCATCTCGGGGTTTCAGTCTCAGGTGTGTGTCACAGCAGCGGAAAACACACGTGCTCCCTGGAGACTCGGTTCTATCAGATGGCAGGCACCCTAACAGTGTATTATTGCTCACGACTCAGTTACTGATCAACAGCAGTGAGGTCACTTGAAAGCAAAGTGTTACAAGTCACACGTGCCAGAGAACCTTTTTGCAGATGATAAAAATTGGGGGTGAGCAGATATAAAATAAATACACTAAAGAATTAATCAATGAGATAATTTAGGAAAACCTTTTCTTTTTAATTAATGTTGTGTGCCAGAGAGTAAAGGCTTCTAGGATGAGCACACGTCCTAACTCAAATTCTACAAGTTCTAACATGTTACACACTGTATAGCTCCTTCACTTATTACAATACTGAATAAACTGAATCGCTTAGTTCAATTTATTTGTGTTATAATGAACATTTTAAAGAAGATGCTAATAACGACAGGTCTTACTCTAAAATGTAGACTACAAATTCGTATCTATAACAGGTGGAGAAGCAGGACGCATGTGCTCTGATGGGGTGTCTGGCGGGACAGGAGCATCGGGGCACAGCTCCCATGGAGCCCCGGGAGGCCGCAGGCTGGCGGTCTGGCCCCGGTGCCCGGCTCTCTCAGCAGCTCCGCTCCGCTGGGACAGGGCTAGGACCGACCCTGTGCTGCCGGGTGGGACGGGAGTCGGTGGGAGCAGCAGACTCCCTGCTTGGCGAGACTGAACAGAACCGCCTTTCCCAGCGTGGACACCAGCGCCCTGGGAGCGTGGCCGGGGCAGTGTAGCCTCAGTGAAGACAAGAAGGCTTCTCAGCACCAGAGGGATCGCACCGCTCACTCTCCCCCCTAAGACCCTTCCGACTCCCACTGCTCCCTCCAGTGCCACCCAGCCTCCCGGCAGGGGCGCCCTGAGCACGCTGGCCTGTGGCCACCTAACTGCCATTCCCCTGTCCCGCTCAGCCCTCTCCAAGCCTCCCCTGCTCCTCCCCTGGGCCTCCAGTGCCAACTCGGACCCAACAGCTCTCTGGTTCGCAGTGCGGCTCTGTGCCCTGAGCCACACACCCTGCCCCGCTTCAGGGTCTGCACCGTTTGGCTGGGAAGAAAGGCTCTAAGAATCAGTGAGAAATAATGAACAAAATCACCAGAATGGGGTGGGGGGGGGGGCAGAACTGCCGAATGGTGGAGCCTAGGCCAGGGGTGGTGAAGGACAGTCCCAGGTGCCTTGGCTGCGCTCTGGGCAAAGACAAGGAAGCACACAAAAAGCGTTCCAGAATTCTGAGCACGGGCGACACATGCAAACAGACGGGAGGAGAGGGTACGGAGTTTGGTAGCACAAGGCGGGGCTGGAAGTCGCCTGGGGCCCAGAGCCAGCCAGAGGCCCACGCAGCCCAGAGGAGCGCACTCAGCTCACTGCAGGAAAGAACTCACCCGGGACGGAGGGACAGCAGGACGGAGGGACAGCGGCTGTCAGGACCCTCCAGGACACGGCACACAGGCCACTGAGGCCACACTCTTCCAGGGAGCCCGGCCCCTTCTCTGAAATGCAGGAGTCCTCTAACAGGTCCTCTTGCTTCAGCCCCCCTCCCCCCCATATTTAAACACACATGGAGGAAGACGACGTCCAGCTCCTGCGGCAACAAGCAACTGGGGAGGAAAAGCAGCTTCTCCGTTTCGGCTGAAAAGGAGCAGCCAGTTTGGTCACTGTCCACAAGGTCCCCTTCACCCGCTCTGCGACCTGGCCACCGAGAGGGGTGTGCATCTATAGCCTCTGGCTTAAGTGTACGGGTTTATTCAATATACTGAAAAACCCTGGCAGGGAACCTAAAAACCGGCACAAAGGTAAGTATCAATTTCTTATTTTAAAAAGTAAATAAGGTTTTAGATGAGTCAAAACTTTCAACAGGGCCTTTCCCACCCTGGGCCGCAGGACCGCAGGCACCACGTGGGCACATCACACCTGTGTGTCTTCTTCTTCCACCTTCTTCTGGAGCACTTCCAGGCACTTGGTGAAGTCGGTGTGGTCTTGATCCGGGGTGGAAATGAGCTCGCATCCCTGCAAGTTAACAGAAGAGACAGGTCAGACTAAGTAATGACGTGACATCATGAACACCATCAAGCGCTGTGACAGTTAGGGCACGGTACCAACAGAGACATCCTATTGTGTCGGAATTATATCACGATCATTAGAATCATTGCCTTTATCTTTTTCGTGTCATATCACAGGGCACCTCAGGAATGGTGTCAGAAGAACAGAGTCTAATTGTGACAATCACTTTACCTGTGACAAGTACAGATTAGACAACACTCGCATGTCTTCCAAATTCAGGGCTGCGATGACATGCGAGATTAAAGTAAGAACTCTGGTGCCAGGATTATAAAACATATTCACAGTGATAGTACCTTAAATTAAAACTACTGCTGAAAAACTTTAAATTTCTTCAAGCAGACCTCCTTAGTTTACTTACATGCATGAAAAAACTCATATTGATATCAAACCAATGACAGAACCACATTTTTGGTAAAACCAAGTGAGGTGTCCCTTCCCACATCTCTCCCGGGTCCGGGGCAGCATGGAGCCCTGCCTGTGTGCATACGTCTCTTGGATTATCTCCTGGACACAATGAAATGAATTTATAAGTTCTTTGCCTCTTGGAGAACAGATACCTTACCTAGCAAAAAACACTGAAATATATTCATAAATATAAAGTCACAGAAGTGCCAGCTCGCTGGGTAGATGACTAAAGAAACGATATTTCTGAAGTGACACCTTTTCTTCCAGTGTCTCACGGGGGGCAAGGTGTGTAAAACCAGAGCGAGGGGACTGCAGACTTCTCGAATCAGGACTGAAACAGCTGAGTAAGGGAAAGTTAAATATACTCGACTCTATGAAGTTGCCATTCAAAGAGTTTTCAAGGATACAAAACAGCCATCGTGCCTCTTAAATTATTCCAAGAGCCATTCTCCGTAGATTTAAAGGTTCTTCTTTCACTTCAAGGTCTCTCTAACCGTGGCAAGCTCAACCTGTGCTTTTATTCATTTACGACTGCCCTAGCATGTAGTGACCAAGGAAAACATTAATTCCCCATCATTCAGAAACATATCATGCCCCAAAAGATGGATATGTCATCTTTATAAGATCATCGACACGTACTTTCTGACCCTAAAAGAACACTGAAATCTACTATAGTCACCAAGCAAGAGCACAAAGCAGCGGACTCGTTTCAGGCTAATACTCCTAAAAAAGAAGACACGAGACTATACCAGAGCAATCAGGAATAGGATCAGGGCTGAGGACACCAGATTGTCATCAAAGCGAAAACCCCTTTTCTGCCAGTTCCCCGACGACAGGAATTATGTTTCTCTCATGACTGCGTCCATTGCCTGGCACCAGTCTGCTACACAGTAAGTGTTCAGTAAATGTTTAAATAATATTCTCGAGGAATAAAAGTGTGTGTTAGCAAGGGGGAGCGGCCTCCTGCTGCTGAATACAGCATGTAAACAACAGGGAATTTCTTCTTTGAAGGGCTGACAACAGACATCATCGCTCCAATAAAAGAAAACAAAAAAAGGCAAATTGAAATATCAAAACAGAAGACGGCTAATGAATCGTGGTCTAACTTAAAGTTATCTGCACAGAATCAACAAGATCCACAGGAAAAAATATAGTCAAAGGGAGCCCAAGAAATAATCTGGTCCCATCATACAATTTGAGAGATCCAGAAAATAAAAACTAGAGATTTAAATTGCATTGCTAACCACGGGACCACAAGGTAATAAGCAACATTAATGTCACATCTAAAAATACCATTTTTTACTCCCACGAAGTGGGAAAAGTTCCCACTTATTAGATATATAATAGAAAAAGGTCATATAACATCTCTCGAGTTGGTTCCACAAAAATTTTATTATAAATAAAACCACTTGCAACATATGAGCAAGGCTTCAATAACATCTCACTTTATCTCAGCGATTTAAGACGGACACGCAGAAAAGCTTAAGTCAGGACACGGAGACAGACTACTTGCACTGAGCAATTTAGACCATAAACCAAGAACCTCCAGAAATTCTAATTGGGGTGTTTATCAGCCGACCACAGCTTCTGGGAATTTTCATGAGTTTAACGATTCTAATCTCATCACAGACGGACAGTGAATTCACTAGAAGTAGAAAGAGCTCTAATGGGCTTGGCCGGAGAACTTCAACACCTAGAAAGGAGACCTGTGAAACAAATATTAGCAACGTGCCACAGGATATTAGCCTTTGGCCAACTCAAGATGTTCTCACTGTTTTCTGGGTCTTATAATGACATATTAAGATGTGAAAGAGAAGAAATATAAAACTAACGTGATAAACTATTAAGATCCTGTAGACAAGGGATCATGGAGAAAAGCTTACTGGTAGGTTTAAGCAATGATCACCTATTACACATTCCTATGTACTTATGACTATTTATAATAGAGAATAAGACTCAATCGCTCGGAGTCAGAAGCACTGGGCAACGTCAAGGATTTCACTGGACTTGATGTTCTCTGAAAAAACAAAGCAAAACAAAACAAAAGCACAAAAAAAAACCTCATACTCAGGATCCAAGGACCCTGAAGATATAAAAGCTATGAGATTTGGCCAATTAAGAAAGTATATCATTTTTAATAAAGTTTCTAATATGAGTTTCCTAACAGATACATGTATACTTTACCTTAAAATATACAGAAATCTTCCAAAGCATTAAATATAAAACTCTTTAAAGCATTCTGAAGATATCAGTGTTCGAGTGGAAACTTTTGTTTCAAATACTACTATCTCTGACTTTTTTTCAGTTGCCTAAAATATATATTTTTTAAATATATTTTATGAGCACATTTTTTCATATGTAGTTTTGGTCATTATAAAGTAGAAATTTAAGTAACTCAATTTTAATAATAAGCTCCTTTGATACACATACCACGTCTTTCAAGCTGGATTACTACTTTTTAACATTAATTTTACTTTGTTTTATACTAGAACTCGAAAGGACAGGCTTGGACTGACCTCACGAATTTCAAATTGCAAGGCGACCCTGATTGGCTCATACGCGAAGGAACAGCCTGTGCCCACACCGTCCCCGTCTAGTTACACCCACACCGAAGGACACGCAGGGAGAACACAGTCCGTCAGAACTAGTTTAAAAAGTCTGTTCTAGTGTGTTGAACTGAACACACTCTTCCTGATCAAGTCTCTCTCATCTCATAAGTCAAAACCAGGAAAAGACACACATAAATTTAATTATAAATCAATTACCTGAGGCCCAATCAATGACTTTTTAGAGACTTACTCTGTGTCTACTGCTTCATTAAATAATACTATGTACCGAATCTACTACATACTAATAACGGTCCTACTATATAATAAAAACATGAATATCACATTCAGTAAAGGTTTAAACTATAAACATATGTGTGTGCTTGGGACAGACAGACAAGGGGAGGCCCCTTTCTTCTTCCCCTACTGAGAAGCCCCTAACCCTGCTTCACCACGTATCCGTCAAGTGCTTGAAAGAGTGTCTGTCTCCCATTTGATCTGTGGGGTGGGCATTTGAAACCCCATTTTGACCACAGGGCTAAGCGACATTCTCTAAAACCCATGATGCACTGCAATGAGAGACACCTATTAAGGAAATTACCAACTGATAACATTAGCTTCTCCTCAATTTAGTGTAACCAAAGAACAAAGACTTGCAGTGTTGAGATCGTCATGACAGAACTGAAAACATTTGCAATGACCAAGGAAGCATCATGCGTTCATACTAAGATGACAGCTGCCCTACGGTGCAGGAAAACATTTAAAAGAAAAGATTAAAGGTGCAGAAGGATGTAGAAGGTTACAAATAAGGAAAACGAATCCTATTGTCAACATGGTAATTCATCCAATTTGAGGAGACTGAAAACTAAAAAGAAGCCAGCTGACCACTCTGGGGGCAAATTGACCAAAGAAGTGGGACAAATCACACGCACGCATCCGTGGGCAACCACTCAGGTCTGGCAAGTCCTCTCTTACCCTCTGGGGACACAGGCTCTTCAGTCAGGACAAGACACAGTGCCCTGCACAGAGACACTGACAGGAAAGCCAGTTGCTAGGGCAGCATGGGCACATGTCAAGTCAACAGAAGTTTGATGGATTGACAAATAATGGACAGACTAAAACCACTTCTCTCCTCCTGGGACTAATGACATGTTTCTCTAAAGTATAAATCTAGATAAACCAGACAGTGCATCGGAAACAGAAAAGCAGCATTGATGTTTTTATTTTTCCAGGTATTACGCTACCCTCGCCATGAGTCACGTGTGTTTTAAGGCACCATTAACACAGATTCTTAAAATGGTGACAAATATTAACTTGCTTCGTATGCGAGTTAGTCATTTAAAATTCAACAACACATTAATGTTAGCAAAGTTAACACCCAGCGAGGGAAAAGAGATACAAATGTACACATGCAGCAGTATGAAGTATTACACAAATAACTCGCACTATTTTGAATAAGCTGCAGTTTATTTCTTAATAGAAAGACAAATGACAAGGAAACAAACTGTCATCAGGGACTTGGTAAAAATGTAGCAATGAATGGTTTTCAGAACATGCCCTGGAAAGGCAGCAGCTCAGCCCGATTTCCAGTACACCGGTGAGCTACAGGAAACAGAAATGTACACGCTCGTCATGTACGATTCTCGTCACAGTAAGGTCACAGGCCATCTAAAAGGGATGGTTTAGGCTCAGTGTGGTTTACGTGCACACTGTAAAAAGAAAAACATTTCAAGCAATCGGGGTTATGATGAATGTTTAAATTAACCAAATAATTTTACTATTCGATTAACCAACTTAATTATAGAAATCAGTAACAGTCCACCTTGTGAGTATACAAATATTTTATTAGAATTAGCAAGTGATCTTACTATATAAGTGTATTAGATCACCCTTATGTTATTAAAATATTGATTAGTCAGCTGTAAGCTGTGAGCTCCATGGAGGTGTCACTGTGTCTGTTCACCGCTGTGTCCCCAGCACGGAACCTCATACAGG